CATCTATCCTTAGGACAGTATATTCTTGGTCCCGAAGACATGGAAAATAAGCATTGGGAAGTATGCAGCAACTATAATACACACCGAAGAAAAATATGGAATTTTTCAACATAAAGTTTATGATCAAAAGATATCTGTACGTTTATGCAGTCTATGTACCAGTAGTTTATGATCCATCGATATGCTTAAAGTTACGATAAAGTTTGTGAAATTTATGATTTATTCATGATCACCAACTAATCACCCGTTGACGAATCCGTAAGAACCACGAGGAATTATGGTACGTCTTGGACGGTAAGATTAGATGACTATAAGTGTAACCGAGCATTTTTATGGAGCTACTTCCCAGCGGATGTTTATTTCCTCCATAAATCTCAACGTAGAAATGGGTGAAAACAGTATTGTAGCGATAGAAGTTGTACAGCCGTAAGACCACCCAGTTATGATTCATCATTGCGTTATGAATTCTTGTCCTTTTACCGGCTAGCTGTTCTTCTTCACAATTTCTAGAATTCAGTCATGCCTTCGCTTGTTACAGCTTGCATCAACTTGATTAGCTTGTTCTGCTTGTTAAACTCTTGTCTAAACCTTGATCCCTGTTTTGCATTGTTCTTGTCATTAAACATGCCGTGAACTTCCGTTGTTACGTTCAGTAATTGTGTTACGTCAGTAAGAGCAGTCCCGGCCAGCATCGTTGCCGGCCGTGCCAACCTTTCATCCCAACAGCCCACACAACATCGTGGTACGGTCAACACGCCAACCCACTAGAACAGCAGCCAGATCGGCTACTGTTACAGTATGCATCATAACGAGCAATGTGATCATTATGTTTGTTTCCATGACCAAAACAGCATGCTGGATTTGCGGTATAAGTTTGTTAAACGCTAAACTACTCTACAGGACAGCCATTGTTAGGCCTTGATTTGGGTAAAACTATTCCGACTTTCCCCATAAAATCTGCCCGAATTTGTTCACTTTATATGTTGTACTGTTGGCTGAGTCGGAAAATGTAGTTTGGAAGCCTTGCCTTTGCTGGACCGTATAGTTGCCGCACGTCCACATGCCGGTAATCGGCGAATTAGAGTGCATAATGTGTTCTGGAAATGGGAGCGGCTGCGGACGGAGTGGCTTGCGGAAGTATTTGCGCAGATTCTCCATGGAAGCACAGCGACATCGTGAGTCCTTTAGGCAGAGCGGATTCCACAGCAAATTCAGCCAGGCCCTTTCACCGGACGCTGACAGGCTGTCCAAAACGCGCTGGTCCACACCCGTCAGACTATTTCCATCGAGGTAGAGAGAATATATGTTGCGCATGACGAAGAAACGACTCGAGTAGAGTTGAGAAATGTTGTTCTGGGATAAACCCATCATCTGCAACAACAACAATTACTGTAACTACATACCCAGCCTGAAGACAAATAATTAAACGTTGGCTCGACCTGCACCTAATTAATCGCGCCAACAAGAAGGGTCACCGTTTATTTATTTCCGGACGATTCGTTAGCATGCACCGTACAATGCAGAAGAAAGGTGGCGAGCGCTGCATCGCCGCGACTTGCGATGCAGCTGTTTGTGTAATGAACGGCACTCCTGTCATGACCTTTCCTTAATATCATGATTTCGTTGCGAATGTTATTATTTCGATTCGTTACGCTTACGCAGTAGGATACTGCGTCCATAACATTCGCAAAGAACCTATTATGGATTAAACCGCAAAACGCCGATTGATGTCGCTGCTTTTCACATGCTCTGATATTAAATGTGAATTAGCTGCCCTTAGCAGAGATTCTGGGGCATGGCTAACTGCGTTACCGGCACCGTGTCTTGGGACTTCCCTGCGAGATCAAGAAGTCCGAATAGGATTGGCTTTACGATTCGGATTACCAGCAGTGATTTCACATAACTGCGTTGCGTGTGGAAAAGTAGTGCAACCCAGACGGCCATCACGGGCTTTCACAGGGACGTCAATAAAGGGACGATGGGCCAGACATCGGGAGATGAACAGTACAGCAAAAAGCTGTTGCGAAAGTGCGGGATTCCCATGTCAAATGGAACCGACGGGCTTATCACAAAGCGAAGCGAAACGACCTGATGGCATGACACTTATCCCAGTCCGTCAGGGAATGTGTCTCTTGTATGGGATGTACCAGTTGGTGTACTATTGCCGATTCCCATGTCCACGGAAGTTCGAAAAAAAGGGAAGTTTGGGCCACCTGGCAGAAACGCAAAGCGACGGAAATACTCTTCACTAGAAAATCGACACCATTTTTATCCTTTAGTGATTGAAACGTTGAGAGTTTTCGGCCCAGCTTTGAGCGAAATGGTACATCTCATGGACCGAAAAATTGGTGAATTAACTGGAGAAGCGCGGTATACTGCTTTTATCAAGTAACGTTTTAGTTAGGCTGTCATTAAGGGAAATGCTACTGCCGTGTTAAGTACTTTGCTTTTAACCCGCGGGGGGACAGCGATTTTGGTTGTTTTTTTAATATTTAAATTTTAACTGTGATGTAGAGTGCCAAAGCTTGCCTTTTTGTTATTTGATGGCTATTGCCTGTGCAGGTGAATTAGTGTTATGTTTCTTACCTCGATGTTAGACGCCAGCGGTTTAAAGACAAACCAGTCGAACATTGGGAAATGGTTGCCGGTAATGGCCAGGTATTTAAGCCGGTTTGGTAACGCGCTCCCACTAACCGGCGTCAATGACTAGAACGCGTCGAGCGCAATCGTGGACATGCGGTTGCGCATCAAAATTAGGTACGTTAACGCGGAGAATCCCGCCAATGTGTCCCGCGTGAGGGACGGCAGATAGGTATCCACGATTTTTAACATGACTAATCGCTCTTTGACATTGACCAGAAACGCGCCAACCGGAAACGCTGCATCGCCGGCCGACGTGCTTACGAAGGAGATTTTAACGGATGTGATGTTGGCCAGCGGCGGCAGCGGATCCGCAGTGGGCAGAACAAAGTGGGAACTGCATATCTCCGAATCCGGTGGGAAGAGGCCTATGCGCAGCAGGTCGACGCTGGGCGGAATGGCACTCAGATTATACACGGGCTGGTTGCATGTGCAGCTCGGTACGTGTACAAGTACTTCTGGGCTGCAGGATGGCAGTTTATGAAGACTGAGGAACTCGGTGCCCTTACTCCCGAAGAAAGCTCTGACCGGCGTCAGAAACAGGGTTAGCAAAACTGATACAAGGACGATCATTCTTCCTGGCCACAATATATACTGTAATCAGCAGTAATAAAGTCTATTACTAATTTACTGTTACTGCAGCCGACGTCAGCACTATTTCGGCACGCGATAGCTTTAATCAGCTGCGAAGTGACTTTGGTAGCTTAAAGTTTTTGCCGTACACCGCCGTAAGACATACTGTATAGTTTACAGTACAACTTTCTTATGACCTCTGGTTACCTGTGGTTTGTACGAGTACTTTGTCGTTATTACGTACGAGGTCAAATTTCTGTTCTAAAAGAGTGACCACCTTCCCTAACACTGTCAGCATTACTCACTGCGAACAGCGAATATCTTTCCGCAGACTAACGGAAATTAATGCAGTGCGAAGTGAACGAGCAATTGTTAAATGAATAACTGGGGTCAGTGACAGTCACACCGGCTAAACTAGCTGTGTAAAGATAAGTACAAGTACAGTACCTGTAGGTATTGCGTATATATCTATATTAGCGGTGGTTGCGAACCACATTACTGCACGAGCGCGAGCGCTAATACCACTGGGAAATGGTACTGGGATTGTGGAACTGGAAAAGTGTTACGTACGCTCTTCGTGGCGTCAGACAAATTTATGCTCTTGACGATCAGTTAATTGCAGCACCTCGCGCTTCGCGCTCGGTGCAAATAAATGAAATAATACATGTGGTTTTATTTGCCCATGCGTGCAAGAGCGGAGCCAGCGCGATCACAAGCTGCCGCCCGGGGCCCATTTCAACCGGACGCGGAAATCCGGTATCCGCTCCCCCGCTCGATCGGCATTCAGCTAAATCAAAATCAGCATGAATCCAATTTGGCTTTTGTCGTGGTCAGCTTGCTAAGAGAGTCGTGGCGAAGCTGAACGCGGACGCCAATAATAATTGTCGTTATTATTGGCGTCCGCGTCGTTATAATAATAATTGTCGTTATAATAATTATTCTTGACCAGCGAGCAGCTCTGCTTGCCGTTGAACATCGCCGGAGTCTAAATGCCGTGCAGTCGTGTGGTCTAAATGCGCCTTCAGCATGCATGTCCGGGCCGTTGCGTGGCAGCCGTTGCGGGCCTTTGCCTGCTCGCCGAAAGGTCACGGCAGCGGATCCAGCACGAACTGCGGTGAACCAGAACGCTGACCACGTCATATCCTTCGCACTATTTTGACGCATAGGGTCGCTTCGCGCTGCACAGCTCTTGACGCGATCTTCTACTCGGCGAATCATAATCATAATAACACACTTCACCGGAAATAGCGGAAGTTATGTCATTGACATTAATAAATTGAATACGAGCATGTCACACGTACTTCCATTGCTGCCCAAAAAAAAATCATGAAAACATATGATGATTCTTATTGCTAATCAATGTAATCACTGTGGGATTTTATTTCTCAGTACGTACAAAGTGAGCTCCGCTCAACAATCACTGTTATTAATCGCATTTGCATACTCCATAAATCCATATTAAACTTTAAAAAAATGGTGGTGACCCTTCCGTTTACAGTCTTCGACAGCATTCACTCGTTGACAACCGGCTGATCGCGGAAATACACACGCAGTTAGTTACGTACTAGCCTACTACTGAGTAGGCATTTCTCGGCATCCATAAACAAAAAAAAGCCATTTCGGTACTGGCAAGATACAGCCGGAAATGCAAAATAACCGCCAGAAGCCGTCCGCCAACGAACCAGAACTGGACGAGAAAGGTCATCGATCGCTTGACCGATGGTTTATTCTAACCTTAGCGTCAATAAGGAAAACAAAAACACATTTACAAATTACAGGAGGGGAAATATCCGCACAATACGTGCTTCGTCAGACGCGCAGAACCGCGAGATGATGGCGTCGCAGCGCCGGAAACAGAGCTGAGGCAGCACGGAGTATCACTGCGGAAACACCTGGCCTTGGTGGACAGTAACACTGCCCGTTGACATCGTCGACAGTGTTAGCTCTCAAGGCACTGCGGGCTCTGTCGCGGGCGCATTCCAGACGTCGCGGTGCTCGGCCCGGACGTGCCACAGCATGTAGTCGCGCTGACAGCCCTCGCCCAGGCGCAGAAAGTCGGCGCGGCACCCCTGCAAACAGGAGAAGGTCACGCCGGCATCCGCAAGCTCAACTACCCCGCAACGCCTCAGCTCGGCGACCTACCTCCACGGGACACTGGTACCAGCACACGCTGCGTGCACGGTCAGTACCGTCGGCGGGAATGCGGTCCTCCAGCGCTCTCAGCCTCTGCAAAACACTGACTGTCAGTTGTCCTGCCTGACGCCGGAAGTGGCAAGTTTCTGCCAACCTGTTGCGCTTCCGGCGAGTAATCCGCCGACCATCCATCAGCTCGGGGTGCATGGCCTTGACGTGCAGTTCCATCTTATCATCGGAAGCGTTCAGCAACCGCTCGCAACCCTGCCAGGTACAGCACGCCGCGGTCATCACCGCCAGCGGGAACTAAACAGCGACGGGAGTGTCGCGACTTACCGGCGCCGTGGTACCGCCGGCTTAGTAGCAAGTCGTAGCGCTGTCCGTGCTGCTCCATCATGTGCAGGTGGATTCCGAAGCCCGAGTCGATGGCGTGGTCGCTGCAGGGATCGATGCTGCACATGTACTTGATGGTGCCGTCCTGCAGGAAACGTCGGACTATCGGTAATGGCGCACCACACTGAAGTACACACCCATACACAGTACCCACCTTGTCGACTTGCGTGGGGATGACGATCCTGTCGGGAATGATCTGGCTGGGGAACAACCGGTCGGTCTTGTAGGCCCACGCCGGGAACCGGGAGCGGCGGGCGTGCGCCAGGTAGTGGAGACGCTTCTGCAACGGCGCCCAGTGAAGCAGGTAGGTAGTGCACATGCATAAACAGTGCATATTGTAGCGACAGAAGTTGTACGAGTACTACCATAAGACCACCCAGTTATGATTCATCATTGCGTTATGAATTTCTCTCCATTTTACCGGCTAGCTGTTCTTCTTCACAATTTCAAGAATTCAGTCTTGCCTTCGCTTGTTACAGCCTGCATCAGCTTGATCAGCTTGTTCTGCTTGTTAAACTCTTGTCTAAACCTTGCTCCTAGTCTTGCATTGTTCTTGTCATTAAACATGCCGTGAACTTCCGTTGTTACGTCGTCAAGTTAGTAAGAGCGTCCACGACCGCGCCGTTGCCGGTCGTGCCAACCTTTCATCCCAACAGCCCACACAACATCGTGGTACGGTCAACACGCCAACCCACTAGAACTAGAAAAGCAGCCAGATCGGCTACTGTTACAATATCCAGTGGCAGCAGCCTACCTGCTCTCGCTGCGGATCGTCCACCTTCGCCTCGTCCGGCTTCAAGGCGGCCCGCATCCTCCGGTAGTACTTGGCGTGGTGCTGGTGCAGATGCTCGCGCAGGCGCATGTCGCCGGGGTCGTAGAAGGCCCGCGGACAGCTCTTGCCGGCGTTGCACTGCGCCGGACAGGGGCACAGCACGTTGAGCAGCGCCCTCTGCAGGCCGGGGTGCGTGGCCTGCAGGTGCGCCTGCAGATGGCGGGGCTCGCCCGCGCGGAAGCCCTAGCAGGCCTCCACCTGCGCGGCGAAGGGGCACGGCAGCGGGTCCTCCATGAGCTGCGAAAAGACCCGCACTCAGACACTCCGTCACTATACTCTGCTTGACAACTCACATCGACACTGCCCATCACCAGCACGTGCTGGCTGTCGGTCGTCTTCGAGGCCCGCACGAGCATCTTGTCGGGGATGCTGAGGGCCATTTGCTCGGCGTCCGTATCGGGTCGCCCCAGCATCGCGCAGAATTTCTGCACAAAGTTCGTCAAGAACAGCACAACGCACGCGATAGCAGTACTGAGAACAGATCGAACATCACAGCTTTAGCTCCTTACCAGTCTTTCCTTGGCTGGCTTCTTATCCTTGCTTTCTGCCTCCGCCAGCTTTACAGAAACATCATCCGGGGGCGCTGTATTTGAGCTGCCATTTTCTGAGGAAAATTGGGCGGATGGCGAAGTGCTGTCGTTGTGGGACGTCGGAGCGCACGCCGAGTTCGTCGCTTCGGCTGCTAGTCGGATTGGGCCTCCGTCATCATCCTTATCTTCGTCCTCGCATTTTAAGGCCGATACAGTATTGACTAGCTCAGACATTTTGCGTAATACGTCAGTCAATCTGTACGTATACAACGTCAAACTCGAAAGGAATGCAAGATGAAAGTCGACAACGACAAGTACTGGAAAGATCGACACGACCTGTTTTCGTGAACTGAGTCACTGATAAAGCAAAAGCCCTTCCAGTCTGCCGCACCTGGGCGGTTACCAACCTGCCATCGCTTTCGGTCATCGGAACTTCCTACGAGTGAATCGGTTCTTTTAAGTTTTAAGTTACCAATCATGAATATGAGTACTAAATGACGAATCACGATTATCACTAATCAATGCAAATTTACATTTGCTTCCGGTGAGTAAATCAACCATCAGCAGTATGCAATCACTGTTACTGGATCAATCGCAATTATCCATATCAAATCCAAAAAATTATGGCCTGATGATAAATAAGGTGATCCTTCCGTTTATAATTTTGAACTGCATTCCCTCGTTGACTACCAGATTAAAAAAAAAGTAAGACACTTAATTATACTAACTGTAAGTTGTATCAGTTGTATGATGTACCTAATACCTATCATGTATGCGACTGCACAGTGCACAACCGGAACTGGTAGTTCATTTCTACAGGCGGAAGTGCACCAGTTTCTGAGTATTGGCGAGGTTAGCACCAGGTCAAACGCAGACAAGTCTTCTCCGGCGCCAAAATTAACGGCTGCGTGGGCTTTATTAGAAGACTGCGCGAGCACTAGCACTTTACAGCCATACGTAGTTTCAGCTAATTTTCGCGTTTCTTGTTTCTCGCATCCGCTGGATAATACAAGAGAAAATTGACACTACTCTAGTGACTATACGTTCTAGTGACTTGTATGCAACCAGTGCTAGCAGGCGCATTCCTCAACATCAGTACAAAAACAGTTACTTCGGCATCGGCAAGAAACAACCGGAAATGCAAAAGAACCGGCAGACGCCGGCCGCCAGTGAACTCTAAGCAGACAGAACGCGCCGAGAAGGGCCGCGTATCAACTGCCTGTTTATTTACTCGAATTTCTGCCGTAAATAAAAAACTACTGTCAATTGACAGATTACAGGAGCGCAAATATCGAACAGAACATGCTGGGTCAGATGCCTAGATCCGCGAGGGGAAGGAGTCGCTGGGCCGGAAACAGGGCTGAGGCAGCACCACTGAGCATCATTGCGGAAACACGTGGCCTTGGTGGACAGCAACACTGCCAGCTGACAGCGTCGACGATGGTAGCGCAGGAGACGCTGCGGCCTCTATGGCCGGCGCATTCCAGAGGTCCCGGTGCTCGGCCCGGACGTGCCACAGCATGTACTCCCGCTCACTGCCCTTGTAGCCCATGAACACGGTGTCGCACGTCTGCACAACCGAGGCGAAACGTCATGCATTACTGCATTAGGCATTAGCATGGCAACTAAGCGCGCCAATCACAGTCATACCTCCACGGGACAGGTGTAGCGCCGCATGAACAGTGCCGCGGTCCCGTCGCCGCCGTCGCTCGCTTGCAGACCGTTGGTGAGGGCGCCGCCGATGCAGTCGGGCGCAATCTGCTCCTCCAGTTTCTTCAGGTTCTGCACAAAACACCGCGTGCTAGTCGTCGCTAGTGAAATAAGACCGATGAATATCGGTTGAGTCTGCTTACCTGTTTGGCTGTCTCCGAGTAGTCGGCGGACAGTCCCAGCAGCTGCGGATGCAGGGCCTTGACGTGCGACTCCAGCTGTTCATTGCTGGCAGAAATGAGCGCCTTGCACTCCTGCCGTTCATGCAATTGCAGCGTGGTTAACTGGGCAAGCAAGAACAGCTGGGTGACTGCATCGATGGACAAGACACGTACCGGGCATTCGTGGAAGAAGGTGGTGTCGGCCTCGAAGCGCTTCTCGTGCTCGGTCCACATGTGCACGTGTAAGCTAAAGGCCGGTCGCGGTCCGCCCACGCCGATCGCTTCGTTGCGGCACGGATCCACGTTGCAGAGGTACTGGATTTCCTCCTTCTGCACGACACGAGTTGTCAAGCGTCCGGAATTACCTCAACTGCTTAACTGTCAGTCGACGAGCACGCCTTGGTCACCCACCTGGATTTGGGTGGGAATGACGATCTTGTCGGGAATGATCTGGCTGGGGAAGAGCATGCCCACGGTGTAGGCCCACACGGGGAAGTAGATGCGGCGGGAGCGCAGTCGGTAGTTGAGACGCTTCTGCACCGACCACACTCATTTTCACAATCAATCATAATTATTATAAATTAACTGAATTATTATTATTATATTTTATTCATTAATTACCCGGCACCGTGTGATTGGCCCTACCTGTGTTAGTCCGGGATCTTCGTCGGCGTCGGCCGGCTCCAAGGCGGCGCACATGGTGGCGTAGTATTTGGCGTGATACCTGCGCAGGTGCGCCGCCACGTGCATGTCGCCGGGGTCGTAGCAGACCTCGGTGCAGGTCTGGCCGGCGTTGCGCTTGGCCGGGCATGGACAGACGAAGTTGAGCAGGACGTTCGGCAGGTCGTGCTTGGCCTGCAGGTGCGCCTTGAGGAAGAGCGGGGCCGTCGCGAAGAAGCCCCGGCAGGGCGTCTCCTGCGCGGCGAACGGACACGGCAGCGGGTCCATGGAAAACTGCAAAAAACGTGCACTGCGGAAACTGTCACGAAGCGAGTGAAGCGCAGCGTACATCGACAGTGCCCATGACCAGCACGTGGTGAATGCCCGTTGCTGGCGAGTGGCGAACGAGGATCTTGTCGGGGATGCTGATAGGCAGCTGCGTCGTCTGGTAGTCGGGACGCTGCAGCGCCGCGCAGAATTGCTGCAATTAATAGGAGCATTCGTCAGCAATCCAGCATTCATTGCGATGATCCGACTTATCTGCTTCCCTGTGGCCTTTGCAGACAGTTTAGAGAATTCACTCTCAAATTAGCACAAGAACACACTTCCAAGGTACCACGATAATCTTACTGCGTGCGAGGAACCCAGACAGAATTCGCCGACGCTAATGTGCGTCTGCGCTAAACGAAAGGCGTGACAAGGACAACTTTTGGCAACTGACCTGCGCCGCCTCTGCCGAGTGTCTGGCGATAATCTGCGCGAAATCCCGTCGCGGCCGTTGTTGCGCTGCTGGCTTCTCTTGCGCAGTAGTCTGCTGCGGAGGGTCCTGCTTCACAAGACTGCTCTCTGGACAAGATTTCTGCAACTAACTTTCCTCTCAGGATTTCAATTTAATGTTCTTTTACCATTAAGGTACTTGTACACCCATCCCGCTAAGAAAGGCACAGTCAACGCCAGTCACTCGACTGCAGCGCAATCCGCACATCCAGCTCGTAATCGCAAGCCAAAAATGAAGAGAAGCAACTGCAAATGCCAAGTCATCTCGCTGCTTACCAGTTTCTCGTCGGGCGACTTAATGTCCATTCTTTCAGCAGACCCTCGGTGCGACTGCGCAGACACACTGCCCTGAAATTCCTCCACACAATCGCTTTCCGGGGACAGCGGGACTGGTGATGAGCTGCTGTCGGTGTGGGACGTTCGATCGATCGCAGGCTGAGTACGCAACTGCACCGAGTTCGCCACTGCTAGTCGGGCTTCTCCCTCATGATTCTCATCCGGGACTGTTTTGCACACGGACATGGCGTACCTGCTGCGCCGTAGCACCTTTACAAATCTCTACGACCCAAGTTTCAATAATTTATATAACGACTTTTCTTCGCTAAGAAAATCACAACTGGAAAACTGCACCGCGACAAGCAAATTCAGTACTCGTAGTGTGTCTTGTTTGAGTTGTTTCCATCTGCAAGAATCAAAGAACGAGTCACTGACGGAACAAAAGCCGCATCAGACTGCCACGCCCGGGCGGTGCTATCGCTTCCGCCGGAAGTCACCACGCTTCGTTCAAATTCTTGAAAACGTTTACTTGTACATGCGAGTATTTTAGTCTTACTAAGCACTTTATTACCATAATTATGTTATTACCATATTCGTGCTAATAACCATTGTTCATAATTAAATTTAGAAAACAGATGACCTCTGCGTTAACAATTGCAGGAGCATTCTCTCGTTTACAACCTTCTGCTGTTCGCCAGCAGTCCTGTGACTCCTGTTGATACTTTACTGAAGTGCACTCCTTCACGGCTTCGCCATGCACTGTCATAGTGCTTAGTGACTTGGATCTTTTATTGGGGTTGGCGGCACAAACCACAAAACAGTCAAACGTTATCCAAGTTATAAAGGTGGATTTCCACTAATAAGAATTGTATCGAAGTATAAGAGTTTGTACATTATGTATGAATGTATGATACATACTTCTACCCATCGCAAATTGCGTATTACACACACCATTCACTCGCCTATTCTACGGTTCCCTGTTTTCGCCCAACCATTTCCGTAGTCAGACGATTTGCGCCATGAGCTAAAAACAAGAACTTGCACGCACCGTCAGGCGGTGAGTTGAGCAGCGAGAACAGTGCTTCGAGATGGACGAAATGCCGTTTAATGTTTAATATTCCACCAGTCACGCAGAAATTAAAGACGGCAAAACATACATTTACTCATTGACAAAATTCATCAAAGGAAGGCAGGTCAGATCCAGTCATTCCTCAGCGCCAACCCAGACGAGCTACCGATCACTGCGACGACACAGCGTGCGCTGCCGTGTTGGTTGAACAACGACATTCAACTCGGCTGAGGACTGACCTCTGCCGCCTCCGCGGCCGCATCCCAGACGTCCGCGTGGTCGGCGCCCACGTGCCACAGCATGTACTTGCGCGCCGACCTCGCCTCGCTCAGGAACACTTTGCCGCACGTCTGCAAAGCGAACACATGAATTTACCATTTACGATGATCCCCGCAACGCCAGACTGCGCATATCCGGCGCATTGTTACTGACTGACATCCCACAAGTCTGTTCAATCAACAATTAATAATAAAACAAGCAAACTTATTCTCAAACTGCTCAGTAGCCTACGGATGCCGGTAAGTAACGGAAACACAGAAGCAGTACTACCTTGACACTGACAGGGCACGTGTAACGCTGCAGCAACAGCTGGCTGCCATCGTCAGCCTGCGGAGTGTGCAGAGCGTTGGTGAGAGCCTCTCCGATGCGGAGGGAAGGGATGCTGTCCTCCAGATCCTTCCGCTTCTAAACAACAAACGCACACCTACTACGACGCTGATGTGGCGTTAATTGGACACAGTTGCAGTACCTTCTGGGCGGCCTCCGAGAAGACTTTGCTCAAGCCTAATACCTCGGGGTGCATGGCTCTGACGTGGGATTCCAGCTGGCGATCGCTGGCCAACACGATTTCCCCACACACCTGCAACAACCGGCCATGTAGTCATGTATTTACGTACTCGGTCAGCAGTCAGTGGCAGTCACGTGTTGCGTGTGTGCTAATCTAAGAAACTCTATAAATTATTAAAGCAGTAATGTTTTGTCGTAGCAGTGAGATTTGTATGCAACAGAATACGTGGATAAGATCAAAGCGACAAAAAGCACTGAGCAAGTATCAGTTAGCTGGACCTACGTTAGCCGTAGTTAAGTAGCACCGACGCAGAGGGTATGCGACGCAAGGAGAACACCAAACGCTAGCGGAGTCTCACGTAATAAACCACCTATAGAAACCACGCTGCTCTGTCACCTCTTCGGCAGGGCATTTGTGGAAGAAGTTGGTGCCCAAATCGAAGCGGGACGCGTGCTGCATCACCAGGTGATGGTGCATTTGCCGCGAACCTTGTGGACCGCCAATCTTGTGATCCAGGCACGGATCGATGTTGCAGATGTACTTGATTTCACGCTTCCCCGGCTTCTGCACGAAACAACCGAGCAGTTCAACAGCTACTCTAGCACAAATAATCAACCAATTCCTCATTAACATCACGGCCATGCCTCGCCATCCACGTCGCCCATTTCCGTGCGAATAACGATCCTGTCCGGGATGATCTGGCTGGGGAAGAGCTCCCCCTTGCTGCGCGTCCACCCCGGGAAGAACATGCGGCGGGCACGACGCAGAAACTTGTTTCGCTTCTACAAATCATCAAATGACAAGTAGTTACTGGTCTCCATACCGTGGTTTACAAAGTCCTTCCCAACTTCAGCAACACAGCACTCTTGTCGCTCTTGCCGACATGCGGATCCTCTCCTGGTTCGACCGACTCCAGAGCTGCACGCACCGCAGTGTAGTACTTCCGGTGGTCCTCCAGCAGGTGCTTGCGCATGTACATGTCGCCGGGATCGAAGCGCACCACCGGGCAACTCTGCCTGCCGTTGAAGCGGCCCGGACAGGGGCACACGAAGTTCAGTAGAACATTGCACAGGTCGTGCTTGGCCTGCAGGTGCGCCTGCAGCAAACGCGGCTCGCAAGCATAAAAGTCTTGGCAGGCCGCCTCCTGTTCGGCGTAGGGACACGCCAGCGGATCCAACATGAACTGCCATCAATCGCATATACAGACTTCAACACTGTAATACTTACACAGAAACAAGGTTCCAAATTATTAATTTCTTAATCTTTACCATCATCTCGTCCGACGTCCCCTTAACGATACTTTCTGCAAGTCCACCGTACAGTTTCGATGGCAATTTGACAGAGACATCCTCCAGAGCTGCTTCATCCGGGCAGGCATTTTCTGGGGACAACTGGTCCGCTGAACTTGACAAGCTCTCGACGTTGTCGGACTTCTGATGGCTCGCAGCCGTCGAGCCAGTGCCCGGCGACGCTGCTTGTCGGGCTTGTGCTCCCTCAAAATCCTCTTCCTCGCATGCTGATGTTGATACAGCAGCGATTATCTCAGACATTATTGCATAGCAGACATTTATAAGTAAGTACTCGACACGTTGTCGATTGATATCTTTGGCGATCCACAAAGATTCAACACCAAACTGCAAACCAGGAATGCTGAAAGTACGAGGAAAGAAAGTCACAGCTCACAAGCCGTGACAAGTGAAGAAAGTTGAAAGTTGTATCAAGTTTCGAGTGTTTCATTTCAAGAACCGACAGAACAAAAGCTGTATCAGGCTGCCACACCCGGGCGGTGCGGGTGATCATTCCGTTAGCATGAATCATCTGCCATGGAGTGCGCTTAAAGTTAGGCTGGGGCCGCTGGGCTGATGATCCATGCGTTCATTGCGTTGTGCATGTTGCAGTTGCAGTGCAGTGTGCAGACTCGCAGACCTGAATTCACTTTCTAGATTCTACTGCCATCCAAAATTTCGAGTTTGTTTCTGCTCGTTCAAACGTGGTACTATCGCTGTTTTGTTAACATTAAAGTCAACTGCCAGAGTTATGGACGCCATGTCCGATTCGACGACTGTGTTGGCATCTTCCGAGGATGAAGATGAGAAGGGAACATCCTCGGAAGAGGACAAGGGAATCTCGGAACGTGAGTCGATCTGCGCTTCGCCAACCGATACCGTCGACCGAGCATCAAACAGCGATTACGGTTCGACGGGTTCCTCATCTGCCCAGTCGTCGCCAGAGAGCAGCCGCTTGAAGCCAGAGCCTCTCCCGGCCATACAGGAGAACCCACTTCCGAAAAAGCTGCGCGATTTTGAGGAGATCACTGCAAAATACTCGGCAGATGCGAAACAGGTGAGGAGCTGTTTTCGGTACACGAGCAGCGAGCTTGTTAAGAACTTAAGACTAATTATTATTAATATTAGTAATTAGTCACTAATAAGTACAGTAGTGGCATTAGTGTACGCAGCTGCAAGAAAGTGACAGCATTACAGTAGTGATTACTGTAATGCTGTCACTTTCTTTCAGCTGCGCATCTGAGACGTAAAGTATTCGTCGTTTCGATATTATGCTTCGTAGGGTTTAACATTTGTTTTCTTTTCGACAATCTGAGTGTTGACGATGTGTTTTTACTGGCCGGAGTATAAGTAACATTTCAAGCGAAACATGTTAGTCCGTCTGGCTCAGTCAGCTAACAGTGCCCTGCATTGCAGAAATTCTGCGCGGCGACGCAGCGTCCTGATTACGAGGCGACGCAGATGGCGCTCAGCATCCCCGACAAGATCCTCGTTCGCCACTCGCCAGCAACGGGCATCCACCACGTGCTGGTCATGGGCAGTGTCGATGTGCGTTCATTCCCGCATATCAGTGTGTCAGTTCACCAACGCTCTTTTCTGCGCAGTTCATGATGGACCCGTTGCCGTGTCCCTTCGCCGAGAAAGAGACGGCCTGCCGCGGCTTCTTGGCAAGGACCCCGCACTTTCTGCAGGTGCACCTGCGCACCAAGCACCCCCTGCCGAACGCCCTGCTCAACTTCGTGTGCCCGTGTCCGGCCCAGTACAACGGCGGTCAGACTTGTAAGGTGGCCACCTACGATCCGGGCGACATGAACATGGTGCCGCATCTGCGCAAGTATCACGCCAAATACTACGCCACGATGTGCGCCGCCTTGGAGCCGGTCGAAGCCGACGAAGATCCCGAACGGGTGCAGGTAGGGCGCACCGCACGGTGTCAGGGTGTTCAGATAGTAGTTAATAATATTTCCGACGCTGAAAGTGAGTGTGGTGTGGTGCAGAAGCGTCTCAACTACCGGACGCGCGCCCGCCGCATCCCTTTCCCCTTGTGGACCTACAGGAGGGACATGCTCTTCCCCACCCAGATCATTCCCGACAAGATCGTCATCCCCACCAGAATCGAGGTGGGTGTGCATGGCCGCTGTCCAGCGCGTGATCACAGACTCATAACTAAGCAGTTTTATTAATTCCCGACGTTTGAGCAACTCGTGTTGTGCAGAATGGTGAAATCAAATACATCTGCAACGTGGATCCCTGCAACGACCAACCGATCGGCGAGGGCGAACCGCGAGCGGCCTTCTGCTTTCACATCCACATGTACACCGAGCACCGGAAGAGGTTCAGCATGTTCACCACCTTCTACCACAAGTGCCCGGTAAGAGGCAGTCAGCCGGGTGTTGTTGCTTTCTGGCCGACGGTAATTAAAAGGCGATTGGCAGGGATGCGAGCGGATCCTCGTTGCCGCCCATGAAGAGCTGGAAACGCACGTGAAGGCTATGCACGAGGAGCTGCTGCATAAAGGAGCACGCGTCGAATACTCGGAGGAGGCCAAACAGGTAGGCAGCTGCTTCCTCTGGCCGTTGGCTGGGGCTGGGCATGTCAGTACTCAGTAGGGTCCTCTTGCAGAAGCTGCAAGCGCTGGGAACAGCATTCCCTTCCAGTGCATCGGCGGCGCCCTCACCAACGGTCTGCAGCGGGACGACGGCGCCCCCGGGAGCGGCTCACTCTTCGTGCGGTACTACCGCTGCCCGGTCAAGGTACGTGTCTCCGTCCCAGACGGCGAATTTGCCGTTCCAGTGTGACCATCTTCCTTCCCTATGTAATGAGCTGTGTTGTGCAGACGTGCGAGAAAGTGGTGATGGGCAGCGGCGAGTGTCAGCGCGACTACATGCTCTGGCACATCCGCGCCGAGCACCGCGACGTCTGGAATGTGCCCGCGACGGAGATCGCGGTCGCTGAAGAGGTAACTGAGTCAGCACTGTGTAATACCATGCTAATGTTCGCCACCTACAGTAAATCTGCTTTTCAGTGATGCTGGCGCTTGTGTCTCTGCGCTTCCGGACATGAACTACATCTGGTCGTCACTCTGTCTTCTGACCAAGACCGTGTTGTTACTATTGTGGCGAGTTTTCCGTTTGTAATTTGTACATGTACTGTTTATTCTGCTCCGTGCAGGATCGAGACGATTCACGATGGCGATCGCGTTTCCTAATTATTCCTGCATTACCCGTTATCGTCATGACAGCCATTGATAATTAACTGAAATTTGAATTTACGGACTCGCAATTTTACAAAACCGACACGTGCAGTGCTATAGCAAATGACACACCGTGGGATCGCTTTCGCAACTGCGATCACCACACTCATATGAGTGTCGAGAAATCAAAAGTGTAGTGGCAAATGTACTTGAACCGGAAACAGCATATCTTGGAGACTTAACACAGTGTATAAAGCACGTTTACCGGCCACTGCCACGAATCCAAAGAACAGAGTGGGACACTTATAACGTCCCTTTCTCGCCGTACAAATGACGAAAAAGAACAGATGCAGTTGCGTCATAATTAGGCAGTAAACACAGCGAAGCGTGAGTATTTGCTGTATTAGTTCTGTATGCGCCCGATAGATTGCACCACAGAGTCTGATATACGGAATAATTCAAGCTCACTAAACAATCTCCGGGATGGCCATAGGCATACACTCTTCAATGAATTAAACGGAAATACTTTGTATAAAAGTTTTAAATAAAAACTACAGAAATGTGCAGTTTGTTTATCATTTTTATTTATTTTATTATGTTCACTTAGTTACGGGTTTATTTAATATTATTTATCCGATTTTATCGTACACATGTACTTAATTGTCCATTTCCGAAGTAACAAGCTGTTTACGTGCACCAAGCGCAGAATATCACACATCATCTTTTTAATTTTCTTTATTAGCGCAGTCCAGTCACACCTATTCACCTCCGAAATAAGACATAGGTAATATATTTTTCTTAGTTAAAATACTCATACATTCGTACTGCTCGTTGTCTGCACACGGAAATGGTCTGTGTTTAGTTTTACTGGCATTTATTCACACCACGAGTGAGGTTTATAATTCAGAAACTAATTATGAAAATCGATTAGCAAGCTGCAACACTTTTCGAATTATACGATTGGGAAACGTCTAGTCTGTACACTCTGTAGTCTGTACTATTGCTTTTTTTAAACGCGCTCAGTGCAACAGAACATTAATACAATAAAGGCTAGAACACCAATATGTACAATTACACATCATTATTATTTATGAGCGTTATTTACTAACTAAAAGTATTATTATTATTGCGTCTCAATAATAAGGGCTCAATTATATCAGAGAAAAATGTTCACAAAACTGGAACTCACAAAGTCTTTCTCCGGAACTTGGCTCATGAGTGTAATGAAAATGTCAAGCCCGCGCTGCTTCCGATTTCTCGCGTCGCCCATATCAGAAACGCTCATCTTGCGCATCCTCATAGGTAAAGCACACTTTTCATGGAGTGCGCAGGGCGACCGTCAGTGATATCAGTTTTATCGCGGAAAATGCTGGTTAACGAGGCACTGATCATCGGCAGGTCTTCAGTGACTACAGTACAACTACCGCAGTTCTTCATCAAGCAGATGAAGATTAAGCAGTTTCTGGACCTGCCAGCTCCGCCTTGGCAAGGTAATTAGTTAGGTATTACTAAAGTAGCTTAACATAGGTGTGTTGCTGGTATGGGTTGCATTTCCAAGAGATTCCCCATGCGACAGGCATTCTACTACTACTACAGTATAACTATATGTCCACAGAAAAACCACTAACAAGATCGTTCTACTCTTCAAAACTGAAAAAAAGCGCTGAAAAAAGAATAGCATTTTAATATTCCATTTCAGATTTAACTTTATTAAAATCAAAGAATAAGGGACACATATACGACTAAATTACTAATGAAATGCTAAAATGTTCCGGAATTTCTGGATATGACGAGCTATGTCTGAAATCACGTTACCACAATACGATGGAAACTACAGCATTTAGAAAAGGCGGTGTCAAGTTTCTCAGGCTTCATTAATTTTCAGAAGCGCTTTTGCTATCCATGATCCAATGGACCAATAGTTGCTGTCAAATATGCTACGTATTGGGACTCTGATGCGAATTGTATCTAGGTCAAAACTCTCGAGTGCGCAACAACTCACGCACTGATTTGTGAGTCAGACAGATTCACTGATAACGCCGCGCGCATTGGTCAGATGGAGAATCAGTTGCTGAATTAGAAAACCGAGCTGTTGAGCTTGGTTTTATAATTCGCGCTCACATTCATGACCGCTTGTCAACTCTTTAAAATTATCTTGCGCTGCTAATAAACGTTCGTAGTGATCCAGGCTGCATTAAACTGCATGTAATTACGCTGTACTTACTGTAGTTCGTCATTAAGTTTTAAGATAATAAGGTTTAATTAATTAACCTTATAATTAGTAACTGAGCGAAAATTTGATGAACTAACTAGAGTCATTCACGCCTAATTAGCACAATTAGCAGCTAATTAATTAGCGAATCTGCCCCGAATTAGTAATTTCGCACCTGGGTTTTTTTAGCACCTAATTAGCAAATTTATTACACATGAAAAAAATTAATTACATGTCATTAAGCTATGTGGGATTATTTTTCTTAACAAGTTTGCGCTTGTTGTGTTGCGTTATCCATGGTAGGGAATGGCATTGAAGGCAGATTTATTGCAGAATTCACGGTGCTGTCAGATTTGGTGTTTATTTCTACGAGTGTATCCGTTATCAGTGATGGGAACACGTTTCACTTTTTTTCTCTTAGTCATAGCGGAAAAATGAGTAACCGATACGTGCGCAGCAGTCGTGCCGCTGATACACGCGGGCTGCTGATATTTGACAGTCCTAAATAGCTGTTTCTCGACCGTCAGTCGTCGGTGATTCGTCACTTGTATATCTTAGAGGCGAAGGTAGCGATTAAGGGGCGTGCACTGGCGGGGGTGGGGGGTTACGCCAAGATTTGGTGGTAACAACGAATGAGGCTGGAGTTGGACATCGGATGTGCCCGACCGAATGGAAATCAATTGTCGCATTCGGCCGGTCGGCATTGAAGCCGGTTCTCCCTCGTGAACCGAAGTGTTCTAGTGAGCACTAGAGTTAATTTTTTTGATTTTCTCAAGAGTTTGTCGTCTCGTTTTACTCGGTGTGTTCGTCTGAATTATGATAAACTGATTAGACTTTTCGTTTCAGCCTGACACTCTACCATTGCTTACTTGCGATATTCTTCAATCAGTCTTGTAGTGCTTATTTTAGGATTCTGATAAACCTTTCAGAATGGATCCTCCATTCGTAAGTTCCTGTATATTGAAATCGTGAAGCAAAAAGTACTGGGTTTTTATCATTCCTGAACACTCCAGCGTTGTTTGTTTCTGGATAGGTCGCTCCAGACTATGTGTTGCGCATTCCGGAGAATGCGCTGCCGCACTTGAAGTTAATGACAAAAGAGACAGTCGAGCAACCGACATCCGCATTTGCCACTTGTTTCTTTCAACTTTTCACCAAAGAAAGAAACAAGAAAACCCCACATCCCTGGATGTCCGTCGGTACGCAGAGTCACTATGGCAATACAAAAGGTAAATCATTTACAAATAAAAGTTTCTTAAAGCGCTGTGTTATTTCGAGCATTTTCACGAAATTTTAGAGAGAATAGATGTCGCCGTACTCATTTCCCCGTTCGGGTCGAAGCAAGAGGCGCCCTCTCTCATTGTCTATGCTCATGAGAGCAAACCGGGCTTCGTTAAAACTGACAAGCCGGCGAAGGAAAATGAGCCTACGTTGAATGCCAAGAGTCGAAGGAAGGCTATCGGCGACCAACTGAGAAAGCGATTTCGAGATCGCCCGCTGATGCACGCACTACAACAGTGCCGCTGGAATTGGTTTTGGGGATCCTCCGGAGTGGGGATCTATTGGTCGGTATGGTACATGGAGTTAGAGGAGCCGTACACGATCTACCGGATGTATAACTCAGCAAACGATAAAATCGTGGTAGAGCCGGTCAGTACCGACGACAAGTATGTTTTTCCACGGCGATTCTGGGATCTTAAAGTGACGGGGCGTTCATTCTGTCCCGTAATGACATACAGTCATCAGAGCATTATGCAGCAGCATCGAACGCTGAAGGCTTTTCCGAAAGCCACACTGAACCGTTTTAACCATGCGGTGGATAGTGATTATGGCTACGAAGACTACCTACTGGGCATGTCAGATGCGGAAGATCCTGTTGTTCCCCCTGTGGAGGCCACCTCCGGTTTTGATGTTGAGGACGATGAGCAGAAGGATCCAACCTGGGTCGAGGGTATGCCCTAGTTTAATTTTGTGGTCATGTAGCCACTCGCCAGCCAGTTTTGGCAACCGGCCTAGATTGGATAGTTTTTGTGCCACTGCAGCGCTTTAGCAGTTTGTGTATGTCTTCCCTGATCTTCGGTGTCCTTTTTCTAGTGCTGGCACGTTATTATTGATCTACGCATAATGATCTGACTTTCTTACAAATTTGACGGCACCGTAATTGTGGCAGTGTGTTGCTCCTAGATCACCGATCCCTAATGATTAAACAGTTTTGGGTTAGGCGCCGAGTAAGTGATTTGTCGCGTTACGTCGTTCCAGCCGATCGGATATGTGGAACACGCCTGTCTGAGTAATTAGCACAAGTTACCACAAATTCAGTACCTCACGTAACACCAATAAAGTCAAAATCTACTGAACAAACTGAAATCAGCCGGTGCAGTTAAACGTACCACACGGACACAACAAGAGTAAAAAGGGGGTTAAAAACGGGTTAAAAACAACAAGAGTGACCAGCACGGCGGGTTAGACGCTCCTTTTCCGGTTAAGGATGGCCGTTGACGTTGTTGGGGACGAGGTGTTGGCCGGTGATGGCGTTGAGGCGCTGCAGCAGGTCGCGCTTGCCGGCCAGCTGCTCGCGGATCTCCGTCAGGAGGTTGTGGAACTGGAAGCTCCAGTTGACGTTGGCCAGCTGGCTGTACACCTTGCGCGCCTCCTCCACCGTGCTTAGAAAGTCCTCGTAGTCGGCCGGCGCGATGTAGAGGAGCTTCTGGCGCAGGCACAGGTTGAACCTGCAGCAGACAGACCGCTCAACACTGCTCTCAACCAACGCAATCAGCCATCGTTGCTCACATCTGCGTGCTCTTCTTGATGAGCGTCTGCACGGCCTGCACGCGCAGGTACTTGTCCAGCAGGAGCTGCTGGAAGGCGGCGCGCGTGCCCGGGTCGGCGTCCAGCATCTCGCGGTGCGGGAACTCGCTGTCGGCCAGGAAGAGCGCGGCGGCGCGCGCGATCTCCCACAGCATCGACGGACTGGACACCGTGTTCTCCACGGCGCGGCACATCTCCAGCAGCGACTGACTGCCCAGCCTGAACGACACCGCCACCAGCCACTTGATCGACTCGGCGTGCGGCGGCGCGCGGCTGTACTTGTTCACGTGGCCGTCGGGCAGGCGCCGCGCCAGCGTGTCCATGGCCTGTTGCAGGCACGTCTCATTAAAATCATTCTAAACAAATTAAACACGTCGTCACACTGACCAGCATGCCCACACGGTAGGCGGAAGTCAAATACTGCAACACGGCCGGCGAAATACTGCCGCTGGCCGCCGCCGGCGTCGGCGGCATCACCAGCCCGTTGAGGCCCGGGATGCCGGCCAAGGAGGGATGGGGGTGCGCGAAACGGTGCATGGGCGGCCGAACAACGGCGGGCATCCCGCCTGAAAGACAAGCATGGCCACACCGACATTTAGCGCAACAGAAAGCGACCACCAACCGGGTATGAGCATGCCCAGCTGCATCTGCTGGTAGTAGGGATTCATCGGGTGGCGCTGCTGCTGTTGCACCAGGCCGTGGTGCTGCACGTAGGGGTGGTGGTGGCGCAGCACGGCCAGGACGGCGGCGGGGTTGGGCGCGTAGTGGTGGTGGTAAGAGTACTGCGGGTGGTGCTGCAGGTGCGGCTGGTAGGCCAGCGGCATCAGGTTCTGGTGCGGATGCAGCGCGGGATGGTCCAGGTGGTTGTTGCTGAAGACGGCGGGGTTGTGGCCGTCCTCGGCGGCGTTGGCCAGCAGCGGCAGCTCGCCGGTGGCCTCGGCGAAGAGGTCGTACCACTTGCGCGCCACGTCGAAGAGCGCCTCGGGACAGACGCCGCCGCCGCGCGCTCGAGGCCTCGACGGCCAGCAGCGCCTGCTCCAGCATGGGCCCGTCCTGCTCCTTGCACTGCGCCAGGGCGCGCTGGATCTCCGCGGGGTTCAGCGCCGACGAGTGCGACAGCACCGACTGCGCCAACTCCGCCGCCGCGCGCACCATTTGAAGGTCGCTGCTGCGCGAGGCCTTGTCGGCCAGCACCGCCACCTCCGACGGGGTCAGGTGGCTCTCCCAGGTGTCGATCAGGAAGTTGACCGCCTCGAAGCCCAGCTCCATCGCCTGATCTACACGAAACCGGTTATCGATACACAGCCGCAGTCAACGCCAGCGAACACTTACTGGTAATCCACGACACATGCGAGGAATACGTCCGCGATTGCCAATTCTGGCTCACACAGTTCTGAATACCTGCAGACAACACTCGCATATCAGCGTGCATAAGATTAAAAAGGCGGTAGAGCAATTATTAACGATGCACAGTTATTCAGGCATTTACAATTATTTTCACGAAATGTTTTACTGATGTATAAAGTCAATGATAACCAAGTCAACAACTGACAGGCAACCAAAACACCCATACTGCTAAGGTTCGCGTATATCCATAAAAACTATTAAAATCAGTAATCGAAAATTTGTTGCAGTACGTGCAACAATGCAGCAACGAACAGAAAAAAATTTTTGTCAAAGTGGTACAGCAAGTTAGCAACATCAGTGCTTACAGATGGGCACAGCTGGTTGATGCGGTTAATTGCTACGATTTTATCAAAAATGTTTAAAATTATTTATCTGCCATTTTCATTGAAAGCTTTCTTTTTCTGAATAGCATTTGTGAATAGCAGAATTTTTTATTAATATTGTTGTTCCATTTTGTTCAGTTAAATAAATTAAGTGAATTTTCTTTTGCCTTACCGAGCGCGTAGAGGCCAATCTGGTAGGCGCACATGTGCAGCTCGCGGTGCGGCAGGCCCAGTTGCTGTCCCGCCACCGGCTGGAACAGCGCGTTGCTGACGTCCCCGCCGGCCTTGACCAAAACACTCTTGGCCAGCTCGAACATGAAGTGCGCCATGGCCTCGCTGGGCTGGTTGGGCTCCGTCGGCGACTTCTTGGCGTTGCGCTTGCCGTTGCGCGCGCAGGGCGTCGAGCTGCGCGCCAGACTGTCCACCACGGGCACCGCCGCCGGCGCAGGGGCCGGGACGACCGCCCTGGGCGGCGCCGGCACGCACTGGCTTAGGTCGTCGTCGCGGCGGAAGGAGGAGTCGCGCGAGTCGGAGCTGGAGTCGCCGCTGCTGGCGCTGTCGGCCTCGTTGCCCTTGGCGCCCGCCCCGAGCCGCGGGAAGCGCCGGATCAGCGTCGGACTGTTGTCGCTGCTGGTCGTCTCCGGCGCGGAGCTGTCGATGCCGCCCGCGAGGTGGTTGGAGTGCCGCCGGCGCGGCTTGAACACCGTGCAGCGCAGCTTGCTCTCCCAGTCCTTGTTGTCCTCGTCCAGGGCGCTCGAGTCCTCCGACTCCGCCGGTCTCACTATATTCTCTTCGCCGACGGGCGCTCTGGCCACCGGGACGGCTTCTCTCTGGTCTACAATATCCAAACACAACCATTAGCCAGTCTCTCTCACCAACGACATGCAACTGCAGCGGATAAGTGTTTTCTCACCTTCCAGACTAATTTCCCCGACAAGAGCCGGCAATCCCGCCTGTTGAGCATTATTCGGCACGGTTAAATAACTGGAATTCCGCGGGGAGGATTTGTTGCAGGGCGGCGAGTACTTCACGCCGTTGCGGTGGCTTTTGTACAGATCTTTGTCCAGCAGCTGGTGCATCACCTGCATCAAGCACAAAATAATGCAGCGGTGCCAAACAGATAATTAAACCGGCAAATAAAAGAAAAATAAATAAACAAAACAGGAATAGATCGAAAATATTTTAATAAATAGCAAAAAAATTGCAGTACCTTTCGAAGTCGGCTGTTGTCGTCCTTGTACGTCACCAGCAGTAAACAAGCCAGTTCACCGCGCTGCCGCCGCGTCCCCTCGCACACCAGGGGATGCTCCGCCTCCGCCACGTTGCTCTTCATCCCCAGCGCCATCACCGCGGCGTCGAAGGCCAGCTCCTCGTCGTGGGCGTTCCCGCTTTGGCGCGCGGCATCTGCAAACAGCACACCGTTAACAAAACGCCACTGCCGTCAGCCAACACAAGAACAACGCACTGGAGAGCGATTCAAAGACGAAGAGCGCCAACGGCAGCGGCAACAGCGCATCGCCCCGCGACTTGACCGTCCCGTCGCGCAGCGCGACGGCCCGCTGGCGCAGGATCTCCACTTCCGGGCGGGCCTGTGGGATCTTCTTCAAGAGCACCACAATCTCGCTCTCCTGGTGCGCCATCTTCACCTCCAGGGCCTTGGAGCTGGCCGGGGGGCGGGCCAGCTCGATGGCCAGGAGGCCGAGGCGGAAGGCCAGGTGGTAGGCTTCGTTCTCCATCAGGACGCTGATGAGGAAGGCCAGCTGCGTCAGAGATGCCGTCGCGGCGAGGGTCAACTGCTGGAGAAGGCGCTTCTTGGCGCGCCCATCGCTGACGGCGCTGGTCTTCTCCAGCTGGATGAAGTCCGGCGGGCGCTCCAGGAGGTCCTCCGCCAGGACGACGGCCAAGCGACAGGCGTCGGCGGTGCAGCCGTGCACGTACAGCGCTTCGGCGCGCATGAACAGCACCTCCTTGGAGAAGGCTGCCTCGTTCCCGGGTGCGTCCGGGAGGGGGTCGACGGGCAGCGGGGCGTACGGCCGCCCGACGCCGTTGAGGCAGTAGTTGTCCCAGCTTAACGCGCAGGCGTCGATGGCCGGCCGGAAGCCGACGAACTGCTCCTGCTCCGTTCCCGGCGGCTGTCCGGCGCCGTCTTTTGGTCGCGGGAGCTTCTCCACGCACTTGGCCTGGTAGGTCTCTAGCTGGGCCTTGAGTTGGACGCGGTCGAGGTCGGCGTTGGCGGGGTTGAGGACGGCCAGCCGCCACAAGGTGGCCACTTCGTCCATGAGGCCGGCGCAGGCGCTCTGCTGGCCGCTGGCGGCCACGGCCGGCGCGTTGCCCATACGGCCGAAGCCGTAGCTGATGCCGTGGGCGCTCTGCTGCAACTTGGCGCTGTACCACCACGTCACCACCTGCGACGACAACAACACTGCTGTGGACGTGATGTATTAACTGCATTCACGATTGAGACGTTAAAAATATAATCATAATAAAATCAAACCAAAAAAAATCCTTTTCAATAATAATCCGAGCGCGTATTGTACCTGCTCGCAGGCCAGACACTCCTCGGTGACGATGGTGAGGAGCGGAACGGCGTTGTTGTCGCCGCGGCGGAACATCTCGCGGATGATGGAGAGCAGGTTCCACATGCCTTCCGGCTCGCGGCCGCGGAACTGCTTGAGGAGGTTGCTCCACTCGGAGGCGGCCGGCGGCGCGTAGGTGGAGAGGAAGTTGACGTCGCTGTATTCAACAAAAAGCGTCAGTGCATCGTGTACAACGCAGCAGACGCAGCGCGGACGCACCTGCAGACGAGGGGCGTGGGCACGCAGAACTTGACGAGCAGGTTGCGGATGTTCTCGTGCAGGCCGTCCTCGTTGAGGCACCAGCTGCTGTGGTCGTGCGCCGAGGGCCCGGCGGTGGGGTCGGGGGCGCCGTGCGTGCCGTTGATGCTGGAGGCGCTGATCAGCAGCTGGTCCAGCAGCTGCTGCGCCGTCGGCAACACCTGTAGGGAAATGATTTGATAGAAAGAGTACAAGTATCACAGATTCACAGTAAACTAATGACAATGACAAACTAATGACAATAAAAATTGACGCATTTATTAACGAAAACAGTAAAAAATATTATTGGTAAAATTACACAAACATTAGTAAATGCAGCCTAATTCAATTTTGATATTAATTTGTATTATCTTTCACTGACCTGCCGAGGGAGCTCACTGATGAAGTACTGGGCAAACTTGCGCAGCTGGTACAGACTGAGGCGCTCCAGGGACTCGGAGAGGGAGGCGCGCAGCATGGCTGAATGGGGCTACGACAGCAGAAGGGTAACGGGGATTCGGGCATTGGACAGAGCTGAGAGCAGAACTGATTAATACTAAAGACGGACGGACCTGGTGGATGCGCTGCAGACAGACGGCGACGACGTGGGCGCACCAGGTCGTGCTGGCGCTGGGGGAGGCGCGACGGCAGGTGCAGCTGCAGGAGGTGATGCGGCAGCGGTCGAAGGTGACGGCCACGTTGAACACCGTCTGCAGCGGCGCGTTCAGCACGTTGTTGGCAGTGGCGCCAGAGTGCGGCGGGATCACCGCGGCGCTCAGGTGGAAGCCTGCATATAGCACACATCAAACCTGCTTGAAATTGAATCATGATTCACGACGACAGCAGATCTGTCATCCCATGGTGCACTTATTCGTAATCTTTTAATGGAACAATAAAAGGGGAAACACAGACGGCCAGATTAAAGTATAAGCTCATCGGCAGAACACAGGAACCACTCGCGCAACTATGGATTATCACATGGACATAAACGCCACCAGCAACTGTGTGACTGGCAGAAATGTTAGCGCGGAAAGTAAACCATTTTATCAAGAGCCTAAAGCAACTTTCTACATTATCCATAATACGGATTAATGTTGCAGCAATAATCTGTGACTGAAGCCCTTATCTGGTTGACTGCACTTACCAATCTGCAGGACATCTTTGACCAACTTCCCCTTGTGCAGATGCTCGCCCTTCTGGAACTCCTCGGCGTTCCCGTTGGCCAGGCAGGCGTACAGCCTACACAATAGGGTCATTTAAGGACTGCGCATCATCACAACTGTTCGACATCATATAATCAGTATCCGAATGGCGTCTCTCTGAGATTCTTCCCCGCAGCCACGAGAGACAGACTGAGCCTTCTCCCTTCTCACCGAATGTCTTCGTCGTTCTCGGGGAAGCTCCAGAAGGCGATGCGCTTCTGCAGGTGCTCGGCCACGGGGTGGCTGTGCTTCTCCACCACTTCGAAGGGCAGGTGCCGCGCCACTTGGCGACAGGCCAGCTCCAGCAGGCTCCACACGCCGCATTCTCCTGACAGACAACACAAATCATCATCATCACTGTCATGCGCCTATCCACGCAATGTCGCAATCAAATCACGCATCCAGCACAAACTCCACCGTTTTTTGCATCGTTTTTACATTATGTAATAATTAGCCAAATCATGCTCATGTTTTTCTTATAGAAATTCTAATTCTCCAACAGAAACGTAATCAATGACTGGCACAAGGAGCGCCGCCGTTGTAATGCGAATGAATGGTGGTAAGCAAGAATGCCTTTCGGTAGCGTGCAACTGCACTGACTGCACTGCAGCAGCATGACTCACCGTTGGGCTGCGCTTGCGCAACCTTGGCTGGCAGCGGACTGAGCCTGCTGCTGGCGGGATTGGTGCCCGTGCTGGCCGTCGTCGTCTTGCGCCAGCCCCGCCAGTTATTGCAGAGGGATTCCGTCTCGCTGACGTAGGAGCACAGCGAGTCCTCCTCGAAGCGGTCGCTGTCCTCGAAGGATCCAGGGTCCTGCTCCTGCTCCTCCGCCGCCTGCTCCGCGCCGCCCTCCTCCCACGGCTCGAACATCCTCCCGACCGCCGCTCTCAACCGCCACGCCACGCTTTCCTGCAATGCCAACATGCTCCTGCATTTTTGCAAGGGATCGAAGGCGAGATTCGCAGCAGATAAATTATTAAAATTAAAATGAATCCGTGCACCATCATTACCAGCGCATGTGGTCAATTATCAGTTACGTAGTGCACTCCACAAACAGCAGTCACAAGGAATTCACAATATCAGCACCAATTAGCACGTGCACCAAATTTTCTCAGTACAACTGTATGGAAAGCGCAGAAAGCAGCAAACACGGCACATTTATTCGCCAAACCTACCCGTTCCCGTTGTTGTTATATTGCTGAATAAATTAGATCATAGAAATTGCGGAAAAAATGGGATGTGGGATGAGGGAATAGATGAGAACAAGAAAAGTGTGGAGAAATGGAATGGGTGCGCAGAGAGAGCGAGCGATTTCTGTTTTCTAGGTCTGTCTGCGTTGTGTCTTGGCTAGCAGCGAGAGTGTTTTCTTGTTTCTGTATTTTTCTCAATGAGATTCACTGACTCACTGAATCCATATTCGGTTGATTCATCCAACCGACAAAGGCGACGTATTGAGCGGGTGTGGCTAATCATACGCTCATTGCAGTCATTCTTCACAATCCAGTCTGTCGGCCAATAACAGCACTTGCCGTACCCGTGCAACGGTAGTGCGGTACGCACGCGTACGGAACAGTTTCGTATCAGCTGTAGCGTACGGCGTACGCGTAAGTGATACGGCGCAACAATCCAAACAGTGAAATGTGAATTCAAAATTTATCAAAAATCAAAATTCCTGCTTTTTGGGATCATTAATTGTGCTCGTTTGATTGTTTCGATTTTGGATCTCCCTTGGAGTATTCACGCTAATCTAGGAAGTAGGTTAATGCATTTTGTCACAGTGGCAGACTGGCGGCTTGAGAAGTGGTTGACAGTGTGGGTTTGCATGCAGGGCTTAGACGATCTTTTGGCGAGGGTTGACGATTTGTTCCCTGGGTGGCTAGATCGAAGATGGTGCTGACGAAGGATGTCTATCTGCCCTCGTACGAGGACCTGACGGTGGAGGAGATCAACATGTCCAGTCCGGCGCTGAAGGCGGGGGCCCAGCACTTTGGCAAATACTGCGACGAGCCCTGCAAGGTACGCAGCGAACGCTGGGGCGCCTGCAGACTGCTGACTGCACAGCACCTGCTGCAGTTCGCCCTGCGCCTCCATCAAGCCCTGCCACTAGCTGTAATGTTTATCTGCATGTGTATAGTGTAGGGATGTGGCAGAGATGTCAGAGAATCTTGGGGCACGTCGTGCGATCCTCGCAGTGCAGGGAATGATGGCCATGAGCACTGCTCATGGCCAGGAAATCTTGCAGCAGCAACTGCTACGCATAACACGCTGTTACAGTGTAGTGCAGTGGCTACGGCTGTCCTGCACTGGAGAGTGGAGAATGATTGATTGGTGTTTGTGTGTGTTGTGCAGGAGTTTATGCTGTGTCGCGTGGAGGAGAAGGACGCGCGACGGTGTCTGCGCGAGGGGAAGGCGGTGACGGCGTGCGGGCTGGAGTTCTTCCGCAAGATGAAGAAGTTCTGCTACGAGCCCTTCGAGAAGCACTGGCACTGTCTGGAGGACAGCAGTCCCGACATGGAGGCCAAGTAGTGAGTGCAGTTGCTCTGCTTGTTTCTTATCTAGCGACAGTTACTTGGGATTTATTCCCAACGAAGCCAGACAACATAATATTATTAAGTCTGCGCTGCTAGAAACTGAACTGCAGTAGGACTACTAAAGACTGACTGATATCGTGACTGTTGCAGCTGCCGCAAGAGCCAGTACGTGCTGGACGACTGCGTGCGCAAGTTCATCGGCGTGGAGCGGCCCAACCTGGGCTACTTCTCCTCGGTGCGCATCCACGACTCCACGACGCGGCCGCGCCCGCAGAAGCTGCCGCTGCGCGACTACAAGAAGCTGGACGAGCTGCCCGCCGACTACCCGCGCATCGACCCCCAGGGCGGCTCCCGCTGGCTGGGCCAGCCCCAGTGACCGGCCGCCTCCCGCCGGTCAGCAGGGATCAGCAGCCTGCGTCCGGGTGTGCGTGTCGTGTGACTCGTGTGCCTCTTCACGTCCCTTTGCATACGTATTCTTACGATTGTACATGCGTGTTTTCTTGGTAATCGGTTTAGTTAATACAGTGTCATGTATTATTTTGACTACGACTACGAGTACTGGCTTTCGTACTGTCTATGTAGTAACAGCCGTACAGGCATAATTTACGTTAGGATAATTATCACTTTTAAGCGGAACAAAACTTACATTTCTATTATGTGTACCGTGTACGTACAATGAATAGACTTTGTAGTATAGACTTTGTACTACAAAGTCTATTATTATTATTATTTATTCACACACGAAACTGCTTATCGTCCGTATTTTTTCCCCTTTTAACACTTCGTCGACTGGCAGTTTTGAACAACGAGGTCTACTTTCATGGTGTAAGCCACCAGAAGCACACGATTGGTCATTAGCTTTTTCTGCCCAATGGTGCCTTTTGTTTTCATTATGCTTGACCAATTCCATAAAGGGAGAAAACAAAAGAAACAGAGTAAGACAGGTGCGCCAGATTTACTTGTGATGAAAGAGAAGGGAGACAACAGATCAGTGCTATCTCTTTCATCAGCCCAGCTGACCCGGATCAGCCATATACCTACATGGGCTTGCGGTATGCTCACCTGCGCTGCGTCTTCTCGGCTGCTTCAGTTGTCTTCCATGTATGCCGTCTTGTCGAGCACGGGAATCATTGGGCAGTCTTCTCAAACTTCCCAATGCTTCCCATTTTTTTGTTGGGCAACGGCACAACATATATCGCTGAAAATTTACCAGTTACATACGAATGCTGTTTAGTACGAGGCCTGATTTTCTCGAAACCTTTCATTCACGCAGCAGGACGGTGTGGCCCTTTGAATGCTCATGTCCCAAAAGGATGGTGACTCACACCATCTCAATTCTGGACTTCCGGTAGCACCGAGTAGGTCGAAACCAACCCGATCAGAAACTAGACCCGTTTTCATTCACATAGCCAAAAAGTTTTGTTAAAAAATTATTTTTTTGAAATTTGTTACTGAATTAATAATGTCACTTCTGGTGTGAGTAACCGTGCTAGTAGACGAAGTGTTAACGCCATTCGTCTCCAGTGTTTGATAAAGGAATATCTTGATAAAATAGCTGCCATTTTTATCCCAATCAATTATATCTTTACTGCAAAAATCATATAAAAAAATGAGCAAACCATGAATGAGGATTTAAGGCCGACTTCAGCATCACAAAAATAAAATACCATTCCGAATCACAAAATGTCACTACGTAACACAGACCGAACAGTGAGATAGTCTAGAAAGTTACCAATCACACTCACTTGAGAAAACACATCCAGGCCGAGAAAAATCCAGAATCAAACGAAAAAGCCACTTCCACATTGCCCGAGAACGCCATGCAATTATCAAGGCTACTGATCATGGGCATCACGACGGAATCGTTTGAATCGCGAGCCCGTTCCACCGCGAACACCAGCTCGACCGCGCGCAGCCATTCCACCGCCCAAAACACCTCCCACGCTCGTCCCGGCATCACCGCCTGCTTCGGCACCTCTGGTGGCGCGACAGCACGGTCCGCGGCAGGAGCTCCATCAAGGGCGTCCGTGGCCGGATCCTCGCCCCGAACGGCGCCGCCGGGCGAAAGCTCTCCGTGGCACTATAGGCTCCCGGCAGGCGCTCATCACCCGCTTGGCCTTCACGCTGCACTGCACCTCGTTCATCGGCCTTGTCCGCTGCACGGTCGCGAGACGCGCCCGCACGGTCCGCGGCAGGAGCTCCATCGGGTCGTCCGTGGCCGGATCCCTCGCCCCCGAACGGCGCCGCTGGGCGAAAGCTCTCCGCGGCACTATAGGCTCCCGGCAGGCGCTCATCACCCGCTTGGCCTTCTGCAGCTTCCCCGAGAACGACGAAGATATTCGGTGAGAACGGAGAAGGCTCTGCCTGTAGACTCTTGTCTTGCGGGAATCCTTGAGAGACTCCATTGGCAGACAGTTGTTAATATCGGACAGTTGGATGTTAATGGCAGCAGTACTGCGCAGTCAATTAAAACGGAGAATTTTACCCTAGGCTGTACGCCTGCCTGGCCAACGGGAACGCCGAGGAGTTCCAGAAAGGCGAGCATCTGCACAAGGGGAAGCTGGTCAAAGATCTCCTGCAGATTGGTAAGTGCAGTCAACCAGATAAGGGCTTCAGTCACAGATTTTTGCTGCAACATTAATCCGTATTATGGATAACGTAGAAAGTTGCTTTAGGCTCTTGATAAAATGGTTTACTTTCCGCGCTAACATTTCTGCCAGTCATACAGTTGCTGGTGGCGTTTTTGTCCATGTGATAATCCATAGTTGCGCGAGTGGTTCCTGTGTTCTGCCGATGAGCTTATACTTTAATCTGGCCGTCTGTGTTTCCCCTTTTATTGTTCCATTAAAAGATTACGAATAAGTGCATCATGGGATGACAGATCTGCTGTCGTCGTGAATCATGATTCAATTTCAAGCAGGTTTGATGTGTGCTATATGTAGGCTTCCACCTGAGCGCCGCGGTGATCCCGCCGCACTCTGGCGCCACTGCCAGTAATGTTCTGAACGCGGCGCTGCAGACGGTTGCTTTAGGCTCTTGATAAAATGGTTTACTTTCCGCGCTGACATTTCTGCCAGTCACACAGTTGCTGGTGGCGTTTTTGTCCATGTGGTAATCGATAATTTTGCGAGCGGTTCCTGCGCTCTGCAGATGAGCTTACGCTTTAATCTGGTCATCTGTCTTTGCCCTTTTATCGTCCCATTAAAAGATTACAAATAAGTGCATCATGGGATGGGATGCTGTCATCGTGATTCAGTTTCCAGCAGGGATTGACGTGTACTGTACCTGTATGCAGGTATCACCGTGGACTGTGAAAGAGTCCAGGACGGAAGCCCAGACTGACAGGACTCCGTAGAATGTAGAACGTGTCGTACAAGGGATGAAATGCGCAACGCACGATATCCAGACTACGTTATACAATTTAATAAAGTCTCCGATCGAGAACCAAAAACACACTGACGTTCAGTCAACTCAGAGAGCCAAATTCCACCTGCTCTCGACAACTCTAAAGCACTGCGCAGCAGTGAACACAATGAACGGCAGTAGCCGACCAATCAGGGAAGCTCACATGCCTCTGGGTGGAGGCTGAGCTCCGTCGAAGCTCGATCCATTCCATTCTGCTCCGATCGGTGGTCTGTGCGCGCTCTCGTAAAAAAAAACATCAAATCTCTTATTCCTTCTTATCACATGATTCCAAATGCACAATGTGAATTAAAGAGATCTGTAGAAAAATACTATTCCATTTAAACAGATCAACAGTTAAAAACAGATCAACAAAAGTGGTTAAATGAAACATGTAGACTAGGATCCTCCATTGACTGGCATAGGTCACAGGTCCTGTCCACCGTTTACCGCATCTTTGGCCCATTCCGCTCCATCTTGAGCAACTTCGCTCCGCTTGAGCATCATGCGCAGCTTCGTGCGACTTTTCATCACATCCGCTTTTAGGAATAAGGTGCGTATCGAATGTACGTCTTAGGAATACTGCTTCAGCTTTGGAATAGATGCGTATCAATTGTACGACTTTATAATGAGATCCGGTTAAGTCATGGAGGGACATCATATAGACAAGCGAAGTTCGCTTCCTCCCTAGTAAGATCATCTTTCTGATCGTGGATGTGCGACATCATCTGGTAAGGTTAATTCAGCATAGGTCATGGAGGAACTTAGCCGCTTTGCAGCTTCAAGCTCATTCAGCTTGCCTCCCTAGTAAAAGTCATTTCGTCGCACAATCCATCTCTTCTGCCTTATTTAAAGAGCCGGCCAAATGTACCGTAGCTACTCTTAACTAAGATGAGTCGATATATAGGGATGCCGACATAAGCCGTAACAACTCCTATCAATCAGCCTTACTGATCCATCATCTCGTTCGACTCATCTCCATCGTCCTTGTCTCGCGGTGGACGTTTCCGCGTTGAGCCCGGCTGATTTCGGTCAGAAGTCCGGTCAACTGGTGGAGCTGATCCGGCCGGTACATCCTCATCCGCTTGAACACGTAAGGCGATGTGACGTGGACCACGACCTTTTCCCTGTCGCGAACGTTTGATCGCATCCAATCGATGTCGTGCGTCATTTTCTTCACGTTGCAAGTTCCGATTTTGAGGATCTTCAGCCAATCGTTGTCTGGCATCCTCATACTGATTCCGGATATTGTGGTTTCGAGCAGCTCGTTTGCCCGGCGTATTCGGAACTTGTGTCGCGGTCGGTTGTTTCGGTCCTTTCCATACCAGGTGATCTTCGATGTATTCATGGACTCGATCTTTCGGCTCGATATACGGCGTGTCCATGGTATCTCGAATGCGGTTGAGCCGCTCCTGGTACTGTGCTTCATGTGTCTCATGAAGGTTGCAGTCATCAAACCGTTTCTTGCAGATCGCTAGCTCGTCGTTTGCTTTACGTGCGATCGCCTGATGTCTCGATGGCATTCCTAGTTTAGCGACCTTCTCCCTGAACACAGGCGGAACTTTCCCCTTCGTAAAGTCCGAAAATAGCTGATTCTGTGTCGGAAAGTGGCCCAATCTCGCAGCAAACACCTTCTGACCGAAAACTCGCGATTTGTAGTCAGTAGGGTCAACCGTCAGTCCAATGGCTGCTCGTGCTGCAAGTACTTTGAATGCTGGATTCACATTACGTAACACGAATTGTGCTACATATTCGCGCCGCTCCTTGATCTCCTGGTAGTGGAACTGTGTCCACCCCGTTGTGTCGATCGTATCCAACGGAACTGCCCATAAGCTCAAGTCCAGTAGACTCGGTAAGCCACATTTGCGAATGGGTGTATAGCACACCATCACAGATTCCGTGGTGATCTCCAGGCGCCCGAGGTTACTCTCTCTGAGATCCGTCTCATAGTCAGAGTCCCGTAGAAACTCACGCAACTGGTGGAGCTGCGCGTGTATCATCACTGACTGTTCCGATTCGATTTCCAGGCCAAAGTAGCGGCAGATTTCCGCTCTTTGGGTTTCGATGTCATCCATATCGTACATCTTACTGATCAACCTTCGACGTGATTTATCAAAACGAGAGTGATCTCGCTGGCGACCATCTTCGCGTCGTCGATCAGGTCGTTCCTGTTGAGGTTCCGGTTGATATCGGTTTTGCGGTTCCTTCTGCGATTCGTGAGGGCCTTCCTGCTCACGTCGCGCCGATGTCGATG